AGAAGTTACTTCCAGGTAACGCAATCACAATTTAAGTAGGTATATCAGAATTAAAAAATCAGACATTGAATAATTTTTTTAAATCAAGATGGGTGCGGTGGTTAAACTTTATATTTAGCCATAAGTTACACACCACTCATTTTTTGCAAAATAAGTGTTGCTTTTTCAAAATCATACTGATGTTACTTGACAATCACTGGCCGATCTGAGGCCTCCAGAGCCCAGTAGATAGTCTGTAGGGGGCCCTAGATGGGCGAAGCATAAGGCTGAAGGGGTCCCGTGGCAGAAGGAAATTCAGTATTCGTCCCTACCATGCCGATGGTTGTAAGCTCACATTGGTCTATCTGCGCGAAAACATGTCAAAAATTGAATAAGCAAAGTATCGAAAGCAAACGTAAATTATTTCAAAGTTAAAAAATAAGTTGCGCATGGAATCAGAAATTTGTTTGCGCTGCCTTTATGATGGCAGACTATCAAACTTGATATTTGTGTTGTATCATTCGAGACTACATTTTTACGGCAAAATTGGAGAGTTCTGCCTCACCTGCTGGGTTCAAAATATCCAAACATATGCATCTTAATAAAGCGAGTGCGAACTTTTATTTGATGTAATATAAATCAGTCATTATTGTTGTTTCCATGTACACCGTGAATTGAATTGTTTACTATTTTTAGCTTCACTTGTTTATATTAGTATTATTCAGAGAGGTTTTCGATAAGATTTCGCCCTTTGTCCCGCATGAAACAAATGAATTCGTGAACCTTGAAATACTGCCAGATAAAGTCTAGTGCCAGTTTTTGCTGAATTTTGTAAACTGTTGATAAATCTGACCTTATACTCGTATACTGCCATATTGACAGGTGGTCAGGAAGGGCTACTCAACTTTTTGAATTCATCTTTTCCTCCTGGAGACAAATTGATGTCTGATTTGGACTCAACGATCGCATAAATCTATATAACACGTGTCAAGCTTCGAACGCTAGACTTTTGTTGAATTTATTCTTGAAGTGACATTGAAGTGACCTTCAAATGCCTCTCATAGTGACTAATTGACCTCGGATTCAGACTTAATAACCAGAAAAACCTAAACGATATGGGGTTGGGCTCAACGGTTCTGCTCCTTTTGAAAATGTCCTGGATGTGACCTTAAAGAGGCATTCAAATTCCCTCGATGGAAAGAAACTAGCCCCAGATTTGAAATATGCGAGACAAGTAACCCTGTTATACTGACAATCGTATGAATGCCGTAGAAATTGTATTTTTTCGGCTTTTCGGTGCTCTAGACCACTGTGGAGCGACCACACTTTCATTAAACAAGCGCCTGTCCGTTTAACATATTTTTTTAATAGCCATGGACAGATTCATGTGCTTAGTAAAATATACATATATATATTGTTAGGGAAATAATATTCGTAACTTTAAGAGGTGATTGCATTATTCTAAGCAAAAAAATTCATTATAACTATGTCCGAAAATCAACCGTTTCGGAGCAAACGAATTCTGAACTTATTTCTTTTAGTCATGAAATAAATTAATTTTGCACCTTAATAATTTAAATTCATATGCCTAATAGCGTAAAATATATCAATACATCTATTTATTAATTAACTGCCTCTAACAAAATGCTTATTAAATACAATTTTCCGAAGAAAATCAGACAAAGTCCCTCACAACTGGCAACGTCGTACTCCGCCTACACTGCATGTTTCATCGCGTGTTGCCCACGACCGACATCGTCTCGGTAGGCAAAAAATAAATACCTACATCGGGAAAAAATTATTTGATAATTGAAATCACATTTTATTAGGTATTCAATGTGTATTATTGTATTAGTACTATAAGGGCGTGCATTTTGATACGAAAGAGAGGTTTTCGGTACGCGAGTATCACGATATGCTTATTATTTACGGAGTGGCTCATTGCAATTCTGAAGAGGCTAGGCGCATTTACGAAGAACGTTTTCCTGATCGAAGGCTACCAGCTAGAAGAACATTCGAAGAAGTATCCCAAAGACTTGTGGACACAGGGAGCGTAGTGCCTAATTTTAACAATCGCGGAAGACATAGTGAAGTTGGCGTGGAAACCGAAGAACAAATTTTGAATTTAATTGACGACTATTCGACACGGAGTACGAGAAGTATTGCGCGTCAAGTCGGTGTCTCACACTGGATTGTAGATCGGACCCTTGAAGAACAGTTATTGTACCCATATCATGTCCAGAGAGTTCAAGCTCTTTCGCCTGAAGATGTTCCACCAAGAGCAAATTTTTGTAATTGGTTTTTGAGTAAGCACCAAAGAAGTCACAATTTTGTAGCGAACGTGTCTTCAACTCGAGTCAACAAATGAGTTTTGTTTTACAAGGAATGCGTTGCGTTGCACCGTTGCCAAATGTTTGAGAAAATTTAATTATTTACGACTCACTTTCCTCGAAAACGATTGATTTTTGGACATAAGTTATGATGAACTTTTTTGCTTAGAATAATGCAAGGAATCACCTAAAGTTACGAATATTATTTCCCTAACACCCTGTATTTTTCGTAAACGATGCATCCAAACTCCTTACACAAAGAAAAATCTATATTACGAAAAAACGACAAGTCAACTTGCTGACTAATTAGTTCCTAGTGTGCAAATAGTTCAATCCGCTGTTGCTTGCTATGATGAGCTGTAAGCGTTACCAAGAGCCTCATCTGTGGAGGAATGGCTCAACGACACGCTCAATGACCGGCTGCAAGCCAGTTCCTTAGTATGCTTTGTTGGTTGCAGAATGCCGACATAGTCTATAGACTATATCTCTGAGAAGATATAACTAAAAAAATTGGTTGAGTAGCAGAGTAGCAAGAATGCATCTGCATGATTGGTGGTGATTGTGTGTATTGGTCTGCATGTGTATACAATCAGTGGTATTTGCTAGGTAAGAAAATTATTATTGCTGCCCATGAAGTATTAGTATTAGCTGTACCAGACGAGTTATTTGTGTTGTCCTTTCTTAACAGAGGTTATATTCATAGTTATAAATTACGATTTTCTCAATTATTTTTGTGTTTTCAAAAACTTTGAGAATCAAAATTATTATCCTTAAATTTGAATGACTAAGAACAAAAAATAATGTAAAATGTAATAACTTTTTCGCGTTTCATAAATATTTCCGTCTTTGGCATATTTTCTCACCTGTCAATCACCAATCAAGAATTTTCTTTTCTTATCTCTCTCATATTTGAAATTCGGCAAATTTGCATATGCAATTTCCAGGATTTATAAAAAAAGTGGATGCGCAACTGATTTATAGCTTTGCATACATCACAAATAAGTGTATTTGAGACAACAAACCTATGGAATTGTGATCAACACAGATTGTATTAGGACACAAATCCTCACTATGCACTGCCGTTTCCTTCCAGCTGAAGTTTACAACTTACAGCTTAGGCCTCAAATAATGTCATCTCTAAAGTAGATGTTACATCACATCGGAATGAAAAACATTGATAGCTGAAGCATCATATCGTTTAGGCAACACGTTCATCTACAGAACGAGTGCACATCAAGTGAATAACGGCTAGTTCTAAGTTGACATCATGTTGAAAAACCTACATAATGTCAAAAAAACGACGTAATGTCACTTTTCAAGATACATAATACCCCTACCGATTTGAGTGCGGTTTTTAATCGAAAGTATTGTCTATCGAGATGTTTATTAGCTATGTTTGATAAAATCGGTTCAGCTGTTATGTAGAGCTAGGTCGGCCGTGAATGAGTCGTTCCGAAGGTACGATACCGCGGGAGGAATCAAAGTAACAACGTTGTATCAACATAATAATACTTACCGGTCATCACCCTTTATTAGGCTTGTGCTGCTCCTTGCAAGTTATCCAAGAATTAGTGCGTCTTGAAACGTCTAACACCACAATTATCTGCCATCACTCGCATTTTTAAAAAATAAAGCAAAAACTACGAATTTAATGACCGATCTGTCAAAACATTGACTCAAGTCAAGTGAACCTTGGTCCTCGCTACAGACTATGAGAATAAGAAAAGAAACAAATCCTTGACAGCCTCCTTCCTACCTACCTCTCCAGTGGTTTCAATTCCGGTCCCGATGGGTTCGATTCCGACTACGAGGCTTTGGTTCCGGCTTCTATGTGTAGGGTTACGATTCCTTAAACGGGCCGACACGGCTATTATGTAAAAAAGCCTATAAATCGTCAAAAAAAAACAACAAAATGCCATCTTGCAGACCAGGTAGTTTTCAGGGTGCAAATAGTTCATTCCACGTTGCTCGCTATGATCGCTCTGAGGAATGACTCGACTAGACGCATTGTTGGTTGCAGAAAGCAGATGTTACATCACATCAGTGCCAAATATTGATAACTGAAGCATCATGACGATCAGGCAACACGTACAACTACAAAACGAGTTCACAACAAGTGTCCATCAGCTAGTGCTAAACCTAAACCTACGTTATGTAAAAAAACCGACCTAATGTCACTTTTCAATATACGTAATACCCGTGCGTCTTCAAAAGATGTTCACAGTAGCTCACAGGGCATTGTTATACATGTCCGTAGCCAATGTTTTTCTAAAAGGGGCTGAATATAATCCCTTATGAATTGATGGCAGCGTTGCGTTGGAAGTGCGGGTCACCCTACTTGACGCGATTTCTTTCTGTATGATTTTCAACCCCTATGTTAAAAACTACCAAACGGATTAACCGATTAGTCTTTTTTTTAAGTCTTGTCTGTCGAGAGTAGGCATTCAATGCTGCTTTGCTAATAAAAAGTTTTAATACGATATTCACCTGGAAGTTGGAGTGACCATTAACCTCTTAGTACCAGTCTGCCTTTTGCATTACGTCACCGTGTGTCAAACTGCAGAAAGATTATGGTTATACAATCATAAACGATGGACCGAAAAAATGTCAAAAATAACATCATTCTTTTAATGTCACACATTTACTTCTTGTAGTCAGGATACATTGGAAAACGCAATAATAGTAGTGCCATTATAGAAACTTGTTTTTATTCAGAACTTAAATTAGACAACAGGAACGTTAACAAAACAATGACTTCTTTATTCAAAATAAAAAGGTACCTATCAAAAAAGTTAATGATGTCTCAGTGTATTATAATACTACATTGAGGAATAATTTCAAATGGCTAAAATCAACAAACTTACAAATTATAGAGTTTTAACAATCTAATCATCGAAACTCTCTTCTTCATCGTCATCTTCATATTCCTCAATATCGTAACCGACATCTTCACTGGTTATCAACTGTTTGATGGCTCTGAAATCGATTACAAAAAAATATAGCATTGATACTGTACTTTCCGTACAGTGCGTCATATCAGCTTTCGTTTTCGATAAAATTGTACATTTTATCAGTACAAGGGTGGCGGGCGCACGTTGCAAATTGAAGCACATGGAACTAAGAGCTGGGCAACTGCCCAGATGACATACTGTGGTTACAAAAGGACAGAGTGGCAACACCGAAGAAGACAAATCGGTGAAGACGAGTTGACTAAAATAGATCATCCAATCAACCAGCCAGGCCAGCGAGGTTAAATACAGCCTCCAAAATTCAAGCATCATGTGCATTATATACCATCATAATCAAAATGGTTGTAAAAAGGTTTTATCCCGCCTTCCTTATCCTTCCCCTCGTGTTTTACCCCTTCCTAAGATATATGCATTGTGAATGTAAACAAAAACAATATTTTTTTATTTGTTGTCTAAATATGAGGCGTCAAGTTGCAAAACCCGCCTTATCCATTTTTCAAAATAAATTGAGATAGTAAATAGTATTAATGGTAGACCTGGAGTCTTCATAAATACAGCCACAAAAAGGAACAAAAGCTGCTCCTTCCTATTTAAAATTGAGTGTCAAAATGTATAACTGCGGCAAAATCCGTCTTATCCTTTTTTACACTTTCATTGTGATAACGGTTACACTTACACTATGTAGATGTTACTGCAGCCTTATCCATATAACGTGTGCGATAAAGGATTTAATAATTTTGGCAACGCTGTACTTACTGCATGACAACAGAAAATAGCAATCGCAGAAGAAGGAACTGATTTAAGAATTTTTTTTTTGTCGTACGTTCATACGGATTTTTATTTTTATACCTATATAAGCTTTATTATTTTTATAATAACAATATGTTACCAGAGAAAACTATTTTTGTTATTAAAGCATTGCTTACTACCGTTTGTTTAATTTTATTAAGAAAACACAAATATACAAGTTCGGAAGCAAAATCAGCAATATTCGCACCTTGCTGTAGCAAGATATGCATCCTACTACAACAAAACTCGCCGTATACAATTTATTTTTGTTTTTTCCTTAAAAAATGAAAATATACGATTATTTCTGGAGAAACTAGATGCATAATTACAACTCCACACAATGGACTCATATTTTTTAAATTACGCTTGTAACTTTGAGGATAATAGTTTTTGTCGATTATCTCGAAATCAAGTTTGTGGGATAAGGCGGGTTTTGCAACTTGACGCCTCATATAAACCAAAAGCATTATACGTAAAATAATATATACGAAATAGGTTTAAGGTTTTAAGGTTTCAAAATGAATTGACTGTAATTGAGATGTTACCTGATCTTGAGTAAGAAATAGTCTCAAAAATTCATCCTATTCATATTTAACAAATAACAGTAATAAGCGAGATGGTTATCGATATGAAATGCCAAACAGTTAGTCATCAAAATTTCCGGCAATTACAGTTCCTGTCAGGAAAAAAGATCTCTCACCTTAGCACCTTGATTTCTCCAGTCTCCTTAGTCCAATCCACAAACCCAGGATGCGTAACCTTATACTCCAAAAACCAGTTCATCCTATTCCTCAATTCTCTAATGATTTCAGCCGTATCATTGGCAGCTTTGAACGTCAACGAATTGCAAATACTGATTATGCTAGTTCCACGTTCGTTCTTATGCTCATACTGATCGCCAAAGAATATGATCGGCAACGGTGTGACCATCGTAGCATCGTAGATATAGTCTGCTTTTGATTTGACTTTGGTGTAGTAGACTATAAGGGGAGATTCGAAGAAAGGTTCTGAGGCAAGTACAGATTTCTTGTGGAAATTGTATCTGTATTTGTAGTCCATTGATTTGAGGCATTTCAGGCGACCGTGCTTGTTTTTACTAAAAAAAAAAGTATTGGTTTTTTACATTGGTCGCTAAAAGCGCTATATTGCACTTCAATTGGAACATACAACCGCCAACCTGTAATAAGTGAGGTTATGTAAAATGACTAAATAAAAATGTCAAGCTAACGGCACGGTTATTACGTAAAAACCTATAAAACGTCAAAAAAAAAACAACTTGTTGGCTAGATAGCAGGTAGTGTGCAAATAGTTCATTCCGCGCCCGCTACAAGTCAGTATGAAGTGAACGACAGCTAGCTCCTAGTTGACATCTTGTAGAAAAGCCTGCATTATGTCATAAAAAACCTACATAATGTCAAAAAAATCGACATAATAATCAAATCCAAGCGAATAACCAAAATGTCTGTGTTATGTGCCGCGGTTATAATATGGTTCAAGATGACACACGGGTTGATGACGTCAGTTACACGAATCGCTTGAACGCGTTGGTTTTAACCGCGGTTTTGTTGCAAGTTGTTTATTTTAGAAAAGCGCGTATATAATCTCTGATTATTTTTATTATCACTTAATAATCGGTGCTTTTTCGTCTACAACTGTATATGGAAAGTTTAAATAAGAAACCTTTCATAATATTCATGGGAGAAATGTTTTTTTCAGATTTTTTTTTAATGATGGAACCATGGCTTTGTAGCTATGACAACTTTCAATTCTCTAAATTTTTCCGCATGTCAAAAAAAACATTTATTGATTCAGCAGAAATGATGAAAAAAGAAATTAGCAAAACCGTATACAGGTGGATATCATCTAGTGGGTTTATATGGCCATATTTCAAGATTCTTGTGGTATATGGCTACACAGGATACTTTGTTAAGCATAGGAACTACATTTAAAGTGTCCCCAACAACCGTAATGAGTATAACTAATAAGGTGCTCCACTTTATGGTAAAACTGAAGTCAGCCTGTATCATTTTTCTCAAAAATGAAGCTGAAGTACAATAACAATATCCAATACCCGGCAAAATTCTAACTTGTCACATTTCAAATAATAACCAGAAATATAAAACTACTCTTGAGTTGGGTAAATACCACAATTTTGCGGTGATAACTATGACATATAACAGCTGATTCGTGGCGTCACCAAACTGATAACTACACTCGCTTGAACGGATTGGTAAATACCATTTCCATTTTGTTATCCGCTTGAATTTGATTAATGTCACTTTTCAAGTTACGTAATACCCCTGCGGAGATCATCAGATGTACATAACTACTTTTGCTTTTGTTACTAAGTGAACATTTGGTACCCAACCACAGAGACACTTGGCAGATCATAAATTTGTTATAACTGTCAACAAAATATCACCGAAGTTAACTTGTGTGCGCGATGACACACAGGAATCATAATTATTTAGGACTCGATGGCTATCAATCCTTGGCAATTGGATGTTCTGATAACAATTTTCGGCTTGTTTTTTGTTGACATTAAATAAAACCAAATTAAAGTACTTAAAAAGGTTGTGGTATATATTAAATTTGCGTAACTGAACAAAATAAGAATGTGATTTGAATACATAAAACATGATATGATCTTCTAATCTCAAATTATGGTGATAGCACAGCATGTGAGATACGTTGAAGAGCTTAGGAGGAGCGGACAAAGCTACTTAATAAAATTTCTGATCATAAGACAAAGGGCTGTGATACAAACTCTCTCAAAATATCAATAAATGTTAGTACATTGGCTTTGCTAGACCAGCCGTATTTTTTTATCCGTCACAGTAGTCACTAGTTTTGGGTTGTAGGTTATGAAAATGATGCTAAAAAAGGTAACAAACGTGAAATTTTTAATGGCATTTGAGGGTTGATTGAATTTTTAGAATCTTCGAAACTAAGATACTCATATATATATTTTGGATGTTACATGACGTGTAGATCACGAAACACAATGTCACTCATTTTCGTCGGCCTGTCCGACTGACCGCTAAACCTTGACCCCTCTATAACTTGAAAAGTACCGCTCGAATTTTGATGAAATTTTCACACAAGGTGACTACTATACCAAGGAAGAAAAAGGTTTGTAATTTTTGAAAATCGGTTGTGGCGGCGGAGCTAGGGGTAAAATCTCGAAAAAATAAATATCACTCAAACGCTTCAGAGTTTTCTGATCATTTTAAGAATTTTGTTTTTGGTGGAGTTAAGAATTAGGGGATTGCAAGGGGTGGGGAAGGATATCTCATTTTTTTTGAAGTCAGTATAGTTATTCGCTCCCAACCCCGGTAATTCCACGCGCCTATTAGTCACATTTCACACATATCATATATTTCCCCGTGTACTTTCGTTTAAAACAGAACGATAGGGATATGTTTTCGATTCGCGTGCTGATTTTGCTCTCTGTAATTACCAGTGAGCATACCGATTTGCTTGTCTGTTTTGCCCGTACTGCAGGGGTGCCGCGTAGGGCACTGCCGCGTCTGACACGTTTGCGATCAGATGTGGGAAGAGGCAACGTTGCTAGATGGACGACAACTACCGGTAGGGCAGGGAAGGAATATCTATGGACAAATTGTATGGGCCTGTTTAACCGACTTGATCCGTTTAATTTTCCTATTGTATTTGTTCTTAACTTAAGTTTTTCCCAGAGGGCTTATTTTCTGCTGAACTTAATCTTTTATGAACTAATAATGGCGTTGCGTAGGAAGTACAGAGTCAACCTACTTGACGCCATTTTTTAAAACCGAAGTACTCGCCATTCAAGCGATGTTTTTGCCACAGAAATTCTCTTTAGAGAAAATCATTGGAAACTTGCACCACAGTTCAAGACATTTGATCATTTCATATCAAAATTTCCTATGCAGTATATTAAAAATTTTAAGTTTTATAAATTAACATACATAGTGGGATCCAAAACTGCACATCTACATCGACCGTCTAAGATATGGTTCGACAGCTTGTCGGTTGACATATAAAAGCGCAGCGTTGCTAACTTTAATATATGCTTAAAATTCAAGGGAAATATTAATCATGCTTATACGAGTTTACAGCTTCCGTTCTATCTTCCCCTTTTCTGCAGAAAATATTGTGGCATCGAAAACATGTACATTTTTTTCTCCTCTCCCCCATTTGGGTTTGATGTACCATAAAACACACTGTCTTTTTTGACTTCACACTCTTTACATCTAAGATTACATCTAAGGTTATGTTGTTTTCTGGAAAAATTTCAAAAGCTGTGATAAAATCATAATATATATTCACTAATACCATACTAGCTTAGGTAGCTTACTTTTCCTCTTTACAGCAGCTACACGTTCATGTATTTGTTCTAATTCAAATGTTGCTGTATGAACCGTGAAAAATTTGGACGTACTGTTCCTCCATTTTTTTTAAAGTTTACAGCGCATCATGATGTACTGTGACACATTTCGAGAATTTGAACGTTATAACTGAGAATATTTGTCAAATTTAGTGTGGATGGTATGAAATTTAGCAAAATGGCACATGGCAATTCCGAGTGATTTCACGTCTCCGCCACATACGCGCTGCGATCGGAATGACCACTTCACACAGCCAGTAGTTGAAGAAATCGGAGTGTTATCCCATATGATAACAATCGAAGACTTGGCAACATTGCGCATTGTCTTTGAGCCCTGTCATCACAAGTTTAAACAAATAAAAATAAATTTCTCAATGTATTTCTTGGTGAAATTACTGATTTTTTGGGTGAACTGTGATTATGTGCAAGTTTTAAAAGTAAGGCGCTGAATGGGTCATTCGAAATTTCATAATCCGCATCAAAGTATATTCAAAACCGCCCAGAAAAGTTAAACAACGCATGTTATAGCATTAGAGTACTAAGTAAGTACCTAGACCTTAAGGGCCGTATCGTCAGTCGTTCCTACAATGGTAGGACTCCTTTATGGCCTCCTTGATTTTCATAGTTTTGTCTCTCCTTCTCCTTCTACATTTCTACTGTCCTGTGTCACCGTCAGCGCTCTCCTATTGTGGAGTTGTAGTCTTTTTGAACTGTAGGAAATTTCCCGCTGGTATAACGGATGATAAAAATTAAAAGCGTGACCAATTTGATGCAAATAGATTTGTGACATAACCTCAAAATAGAACGCTGACACGGAACAGTAGAAAACTATGAAAATCAAGGAGGCCATAAAGGCGTCCTGCAATTGTAAGAACGACTAACAATACGACCCTAAGACACTAAAAATGGTATATTACGCGAATTTTGGGTCCAGTTTGGAATATTTTTTTTCGGACAGAGTAGCCATACCAATAGGATCTTTCTAGTGCAGAAGCGAGTGTTGAGGTGCATCCTATAAATTTCCTCTAGAGAGACTTGCAGAGGAAAACGTGAAAGTAGAGATTCTAATTTTCACATTGAAAAATATTGACAATTTTATAGGTAACCCACGAAGTGACTATAACACACGAAATAAATATAAATATTCTGTATCCAGTCCATCCTTTCACGGTTACAGAAAAAAATGTCCATTAAAGCTGCACTAAAATATATAATAAGTGACCACAAGAAATTAAAGCACTTAGAACCATATGACCTTCAAGAATATTTCTAAATGTGAAATCTGTATTATGTTATACGTTTGCCTCTTTGTTTTTTTCTGTCTCGACGACGCTGTGCCGTATATTTCACCTAACAGTGTGTAACACACAGTAATGATGCACTGTTATTTTGGAATAAAGATTTATTATTTTCCATCAAAACGGCTGGTCCCGAGTCCCAAGTTATTTCACATCTCTGTTACATCGTGCGCTGCAATAGATGTGACGGTCCTCAGCACCCACTTGGCACATACTGAATACCAGCGCTTCAGCGGCCGAAAAAATATGTATTCCAAGCTCTTTAATTGTGATCATAATTAGTATGAAAAATGTCTTCCAAGCTCCACCACAGTGACTAGTAAGAGAAAATCTATAAAAATCATGTGTGATATCAACAACTTGAAAAGTCAGATTTTTTTCATACTGGAGCTTCTACTGGAAGATTTTTCATTCTTAATAAATAACAAATGAGCAGTTGCACCATCCCGTTCTCGAAGTATACAACTCCATTGGGTTGGAATCAGCAGACGTCCCAAATAACTTTTAAAAGTCCAAGGTCTTTACCACATACTATAGAGATGCTTACCATGCAATTGCCACGTTGGGATATAATCCCGCACAAACTATAGCTTTGACTAGACTCATATTATCTGAATTTCTGTTGTTCTCTGCCGCTTTGGGATTCAAGTTCCTAACAAACTCCAACTCTAATAAATACTGCATAAATTGCTTCTTCATGTCTTGAAGCTGATGGAGTGTGTGAGAACTTAGGAAGAATTCCCAACAGAATTGTCTTTGACTATCCGAGTTCTCAAACCTTTCTAATGCCTGAAACATAATTAAAAAATCAGTACATGCCACGTTATTTCGTACACAGTTTGACTTTCGTGTGCTTCCTTGCAAATATTTTGTACTATTGGCCACAGTGAATTTGTTGGAATTCAATAGGCGTATCGGAACTATGTTAATCAAATATTGATTAAAGTCTACTTAATGCTTAGCTAAATCAATTGGCTCCTTCAGATTGTCTACTGAAAGTTACCTGATTATTTTATATGAAACAACTCACAAAAGTTGCGGTGTCGAAAAAATAAAAGTTACTCGAAGGTATGGGGAACTTTGCATGTGATTAAATAATCAATGATCTGTTGTTACATCTTTACGTGATGAATAGTTTATTTCGATCCCAAAAAATCATGAAATCTAAGATCGTACGAATGGGAATCTTAGGGATTTGTATTTTTTCTATTTCAAATTGTTTAAAATGAGGCAACTCTAACCTTGTGTAGAAGAAGATGATCACTCAACAACCCGTCTCCCAACTCAACCCTCTTAATATCAGCCAACTTCTCTTTCCCTAAAGGAATCTGAAACGCGTCTTTATAATCTAGTGAGGCAGCTACAGATAAAACAGGGTCCAAACAGCTGAATATCGCTCCAAACAGAATCATTTTACCCATTTGAGGAGCAATTGGCAGCCTGGCAATATGGTAGCCTAAAGGCATGAGATCCTCACGATCATCGAGAGCGTTGAGGCGCTTTAGAAGATTTAGTGAGAGGGTTACTGTTTCAGCATCTGGAGGGTCCATTAATTTTGAAAAGAATTCTTCTACTTTACCTGCAAAACGCAGTTATAGACAAACCTCACGGAATCTTATTTCAAAATATGTTACCTAGTTGCAATATTTTTGTCTGCAAAATAGTCCCCTCCAATCTCATCCTTAATATCTCTGGCTTTTGGAACTTCTCTATGATTTGATGCCGAGCTCTGCTGTACAAATGATAACAAACACCTGGTTTTACTCTCCCTGCTCTACCTTTTCTTTGATCAGCATTAGCTTTGCTGACCCACTGGATATCCAGTGTTTCCGTGTTTGTTTCTACGTTGAAATCATTCATTTTTATTTTACCAGTATCTATGACAAATACTACATCATCTGAAACCAAACCATATTTCCATTTCATATTTTGAAAACCAGTGGAATAAAAAATAGTTCTATGTTATACTTGATGAATTGTAACTAAACTACCTATAGTAATAGATGTCTCGGCAATATTTGTTGATATAATAACTTTCCTGACACCAGTTGGTGCTGGACTAAATATTTGTCTCTGATCTACAGTGGGCATCTGTGAGTGAAGTGGTATTATTATAAACCTGGAATGTGGAAATTTGCCAGATGCTTGCAGCATTTTGTTGAGATCTGATATTTGAGCGTATCCAGGCATGAATACCAAAATCGAACTGAACTCGTCATCCTGTAACAAAGATTTATTTAATGTAGATGTATACATTATGAATGTTTCATGTTCAATTATGTTCATATCTAAAAATGAGCGCAATCAGTAAAGTGACACATTTCAGCTTAAAAGTTGCGTCGTTCTTATTTTGTGTTTTCTGCTGCCACTAATTTGGCTCTTTGCGAGTGTATATACACATTTTCATTTTATATTTAATGATTCCGTATATTTCACTTACATGTCTACAAATGTACTTAACCAGCTCCAAAACTAACTCTAAATTTATATCTTCTGATATAATATTGGTCAATTGTTTACAGACGTGTATATCATATTTTCTTTCTTTCAGGAGACGTCTGGCATAAGGAACAATATAATCCTCAAACTCCTTTTCTTTAGCTCTATTCTCAGCTTTAGACTTGTCTTTGTACATCATCCATTTTTTCATACCTACAAATCAATATCTCAAAGTTCTCACATAGGGATGCCAAAGACTACGCGAACTATTACGCGATTTCGTTTTGTAAAACAGATAAATGTCTGCTTAAAACTATTTCAAAGCTCAAATTGATTATACGACCTACCGACATGTCAGCATAATTGACATGGTTTCCGGTTTTATAGACAGTCTGACCTTAGAATCGTTTCATACTGAAAATGTTATCTCCAACTCAAAATATCGCAGACGGTTTATCTGATTCAGAAAGTACCAATTTGTCTAAAAACCCAGATTATGGTGTAGTGACGTAAAGCCTAAATAAAGCTAGCCTTACACGCTAGGGTATAACTGACATGTTTGCCTATACAGTCACACCTATCAGATAAAATTGAGCTGATTGATGAATAGATACATACATATACACCTGTGTAAACTCTCAGTTTTGAAAAGTGGAGCAAAGTCACCGGAAAACTGACACCTGCGGCAGGATACAAGCGCGCGCCACACCTGCATGGTTTAGATTCACTCGAATGAATAAAAAATAAATAAATAAAAATAAAAATATTAGAGATTTGTATTTTGTCAGGTCATTTCAACGATAAGGAAACACGCCGCGATGTGACATATACATGCTCCTCTTTACAGTTCAATCGTTCACAGTTTAACTGTTCAGGTAAAACTGTCAGGCATACCTACACGTGTATGGCTGCCTTAAGACTTACCTGGACGATGTGGACCTTGCTCAGGAAATGTAAACTTTGTTTGTTGCAACACATCTTCCAAAAAGTACTCAGTCACTGGGAAAGTAAATCCGGGTATGTTTATGTGAGGACAAGTATTGTAATATGCTGAAAACGCCTCCGAGTTTAATGTAGCACTCATCAATATCACCTTTAGATCAACTCTTTTCTTAATTACTTCCTTCAGCAGTGTGATGAGAAAATCTGAGGCAACATTTCTTTCGTGTATTTCATCCAAAATTATATGTGAAACACCACCCAACGCAGGGTCGCTTTCCATTTGTTTGAGAACTACTCCAGTGGTGCAAAAATTTATGCAGCATCTTTCTCTTGGCAACTTCCTTGACAAAAAGAACTGTAGTCAGAATGAAAATCTAATATACCAATCCCCCGACCAGTTCCAAAAGGCAAATATAGTATGACGATTTCTAGAAACCAACTTGAAAATGAGAGTATAACGAATTTTGTTTGCTTGTAGAAGAAGAAGCTTAAAAAATGTTGAGGCGCAATACTAGGATGAGGTGGAAAATTCTCGACTTGACACAGACATGGTGCTCCAATCAAATTTGTAATTCCTGCATTGGTGAACATACCATTTGTTTATATGACAAGTTTCAATTTATTCTTTCAAGTATTTTGTCTACGAGTTTGTGAACGTCTTGTATGGAATTCATCAAGGCAAACTTAAACATCGTGCTGTCATCAAATTCGTCATATTGGATGTGTTAACCTCTAATTTAATTCTTTCTGAAGTCACACAGCGCTGGAGACGGCTCTTCGACTCCTCATAGCGAGTGCTGTAACTCCGATACTGGAATACCCTTCAGCTGGACGGTTACAGCCGTTCGAATGTTTTCCACTGTCCCAAAATGAGTTCTCTTGTCGTGACTTATCAAGTTCGGGGAAAGAAAATAGTCATAACGATCCAAGTCAGGCGAATAAGGAGACTGAGTAGTCACAGGAATGTTTTTACTGATCAGAAAGTCGTTTATTGAAATTGCTGTGTGACAAGGAGCATTAACGGGTTGCAACACCCAGTAGTCCTTGACCTGACGAACGGTGGTGTGTCACATTTAACTCTTCCCCGATCATTCTGACTGTCAACCGACGATCTCTACGCACAAGATCCCGGATTCTGTCGATATTTTCATCGGTTCTTGAAGATGAAGGCCTTCGTGGTTCATCTTACTATCTATGAAGGCCTGTTTAGCAAGAACTTCGGTTGCACTCTGGCCAAGTCTGAAGCAAAACCTGATAGCACACTGTTGCTTGAAACTGATGTCACTCGATTTTAGAACGTAATAGAAAAAGCTGTTTCACAAAAAAAAACGCTCAGGACAGCCAAATGACTAGAGCGAGCTCAAGCTTGTATATAACGCGGATCACATGTCTTCCCTGTCTCCTCTCCAAGCCCGCCGCTTCCAGTATTACCAGATCGAATGCTAGGTAGCCAACTAGCCAGTCTCATCATATTTATAGACCTCATACATTAATGGAAAAATTCATGGATTATCTGTCAGTGCTCAGTGCTGCCAACTACGCAACACATTCTTACTAGAAACATTTTAGACTTGTATTGTGGTTCTATACTTGAATTGAAAAGTTGTTCAATATAATAGAAAGGAAAACAAAGTCGGCACCATGGAATTTGACGTCCAACTTGGCAAAAATTAGAACAAGTTCTAATTTCGTGAAGAAATCCACGAAGAACTTCGTTGATTTATTTGACGTCAAATTCCTATTTGACACAATTCATGGAGAAATCCGTGGATTTATTGTCAATGTAAAACGGATATGACCTCATATGTGAAAATCCATCAAGCCGTTTGGCATGCGCCTGTGAAATAGAATTTTTTGGATACATACATGTAGTTCACTTCACGGTTTTTGGCGAGTCACACTATCGGCATCACTTTTATACATTCATCTCCCTCACACATACATTTGCAGTATGCCTCTGTAGGCGGACGTTGGTTTGTGTAAGCTCAGACATCAGTTCTCCTCGCCACCTCGAGGATTTTTTAGTTAACATATGAGTATATCTATGCTTGTCACTGTCAGCGTGACAACGCACTTGACATTACATATGCGTAAGTAACGGACAATATCGATAGTTGTTTTCCAAAATTACTAGAGTACTTTGAGAAAGTGAATGAAAGCAATGGTCCTTTATTAACCAATCCATGTGACCAAGAGAAGCTGCGATTGGTTTGCCCACTGAGCAAATAGTCTATTTGCTTACTTATTTCGTGTGGCTTTAATGATGTAGCCACCAAAAACCGTGAAAAGAACTATACATAGATGCATATATACCCACGCGCGAAAAAACACGCAGACGACTCTCCATTTGCTGTGTGGTGGATACACAAACAACTTTCACAGGAATATTTGGATCAACTCAGTATGTATAGAAACAAATTGAACCTCTTCAATAACAAAGAACACGATTGTCAAACTCGATCTAAAGGTTTGCTGGTACCCACCGTCCATATCAGAATGAACTACATTTGTTATAAAATGTTCAATAATTCTTTCTTTAAAAAGCACCAACATTAGGCAGTTTCAAAAATCAGTTTCTCTGCATGTAAAGTTGTTTTTTAATCTGGATTTTATTGTTTTTTTAAGCGTATGTGGTCTTGTGCGACCATTTCCTTTTAATCTTCGAGTCTGTGGCTATTTAGCAATGAAATAAACGTATTCTTATTAATAGGAATGCGACCGATTTTATGCGGCTATTGGTTATCAACATTAGAATGAAGACAGCAGTCAAAGCAGTGGATGGAAGCCCCTGGTTTGGCGACAAAGAAGAGAGGTGGATTGCATCCGAAGAAAAGGTGTATTTCAGGACACAAAAGGGATTCTGTCAGCTGATTAATCTCATTGAAAAGTGTAGACCAATTATGGCCACATACTATTCAAACCTCCTTGATCAACTATATGCCAAAATTCGTGAGAAGAAAACTATAGCAAGGAGAAGAAAAATATCACTTTTCATTAGGTCAATGCACCTGCTCACAAGGTTCTGTTGAGAAAGCAAGAACTGTGAGATTTGAGGAATAATTTTCTCGTCATTAATCCTCTTGATTTGGCACCCTCAGACTTCCATCTGTTCCCAGATTTGAAGAAATTTCTTCCAAGAAGGAATTCTAACGTTGGAGAAACTTTGAACCAAATGTGTTGTAGTCGAAGGTGATCAGTAAAAAACTGGAATCATTTTCTAACTCAAAATCGCAGTCTTTCATTGTCAGGCTGAAAAACATTTCAATTTTTCCTGACTTTATTTGCAATCGGATTCCAAAATAAATTATATATTACTATTGCCACTTTTTCTCCTCTACGAGGTGGCGTAATTAGAATTTCAATGAGTTTTCGTACCTCGTCTTTCAGCATAAACTTTATTTTTTCTTATGGACATGATATTTGTATATAGCATTGGAAGACTGGGAAGAAGAGAAATAAATCAAGCAGTGAACAATGTACAGAGAAGAGTCAGGCTTTGCCTAGGAGTACTAGGAGTAGAAAGGACAACATTTTGAACATCAGGTAGTATTTACCTCTGCTCATTCATGATTATTATTTATATTACCATCAATAAAATTTCCGTTTTGTATTTCACAAAATCTTTTCCTTCCTTTCCTTTCCTTATAATGTTCATCCTACAGCAAATGAATGGCTAACTAAGGAAATGCAGCACCAAATTTAGGACTTAAAAGTCCATTCAAATGTACAAAATTCCAATATAACATCCGTATGCAAAGAAAAAACAAAGTTAGGTATGGAAAGTGGAAGAAGAAATATCTAAATGAAAATTTGACTATGCCATCTTGTAGAGGAGAATAAGTAAAAATGTCAACATGCAATTTATTTTGAAATCCCAACTTAAATAAAGTCAAGAAGTAATAAAAGTGATTTTGGGATAAATGTTGTATGCAAAACAAATGACTTTCTGATAATTTCGAGGCCTACCTGGAAAAATCTGATTTTTTTTTAATAACTTCGATTTGCCAATATCAAGTATTATACATTTTTGGAATGAGAATTAAGTCGGCCACTCACGTACAGTTTCAACTGACAGTTTGAACTGTTCAGTGAAAACTGTGCAGTTAAACTGTTCAGTCTGTTTGCACACACACATACAGGTCAATCTATCAGTTTTAAATAATGCATCGAACAGAGCAGAACGATTTGGCCGCTCTGGGTATACTTTGTGTAGTTTTACAAAAAAGTAAACAATGTAAAAAGCGTAAACAGTGGTGCAAGAAGTGGTTACAGAGACGAAATCAATCTTCGGACATCAGCTTATTAAAAGAATTGAGAGGGGAACCATTAGATTTCCTTAATTATTTGCGCATGACAGAAGCAGTGTATCAAAAGTTGCTTTTGCTGGTTTCTCCTTTGATTAAGAAGAAAGATACAGTTATGAGGGCAGCAATATCTCCACACGAACGATTAACTGCTACCTTGAGATTTCTGGCAACAGGACGGTCGTATGAGTGTCTCAAATTCTCGACTAGAATATCACCTCAATGTCTTGGTAAAATTATCCCAGAAACGTGCAACGCCTTGTACGCAGTTTTAAAGATGTATATGGCGGTACGTATTTTCTTCTTAATTTAGAATAAGAGAAACGAAAAACAGTTGTTTTTGGCAAACTGCTTTTATTTTTATGAAAGGGTACATTTTCATGAATTGGCATCAAATTGAGAAAAATAAGTCGATGCTGTGTTGTCCTGAGAAAAGGATAATTGTCCACTTCCATCATTATGGAACTGTCTAAATGAACCTTGGCCGTATGTTGGAGATGGCGTGGGACATGGAGTGACATTAGGAGTTTGACTTGCTAACGCTGTACATGAACCTTGTCCATATGTTGGAGATGGCGTGGGACATGGGGTAGTATAAGGACTCTGACTTGGTGATGCAGCATATATTGGCGCTGTGTTTAGAGAACCCATTTCCGCCTCGAATAATATGTCACCTATCTTTTTCTCCGCAATGAGAGCCTGGCGTTTTTCCAAACCTCTCAACTTTACAGCAATAGTTTTTCCCAACAGATCAAAGCGGTCAAGTTGTTCCTTGGGTGTTTTGAAATGGTCACGCACTGTCATCAAGGTTTCTGTTGTGAGATCCTCATTTTTCTTTTGTTTTTTATTACAACCAGGTCTTGAGGTTATTGGCTGTTGAGATTTTCTTGACACTTCTTCAACAACCGCAGTTCTCATTTCTACAACATCATCAGCCTCTCCTGTTTCTTCAGTTGGGAGTGCATTGTCAACGGATTCCTGAAAAATAGAAGCAACTGTGTACTAGGATTGACAAAAAAAAATAAAACATCTAATTTACTTTAACATAACATATTTAGCTATTGTTGCCTGTTTCAGTTTCCCAACTCAGGAGAAAAATGGAAGGAGATTGCAGCTTCGTTTGAGGAAAGATGGCATTTCCCACACTGCATCGGTGCCTTAGATGGGAAGCATATTGATATAATTCCGCCACAAAACTCTGGATCGTATTATTATAATTACAAAGGCAAACACAGTATGGTTCTTCTGGCTATAGTTGACGCAAAATACCGATTCCTACTAGCAGATTTTGGAACAAATGGGCGGATTTCCGATGGCGGTGTTCTTCAGAATACAACTTTCTTTGAGAAGCTGGTGAACGAGGATTTAAATATTCCCCAACCTGATGATATTTGTGACAATTTCCAAAACGTTCCGTATGTATTCGTTGCGGATGATGCGTTTCCTCTCAGAACTGATATTTTGAAACCATTCAGGCAGGGACTATTAGATTCAGCAGACAAAGAGGTTTTTAACTATCGATTATCACGAGCAAGACATATTGTCGAAAACGTTTTTGGTATACTTGCTTCACGATTTCGTATCTTTCAGTCTCCAATTAATTTAGAACCAGAAAATATAGAAAAAATTGTAATGGCTGCTTGTGCTTTACATAACTTTTTGATTGAACATCAATCTAGTACATACGCTCCTGCAAACTTAAGGTATCAAGAAAATAGTAACGATGGATCTCTTATTTCTATTGGGTGCGATAGTTCACAATCAAATATGATTCCACTAAATCGTCAAAATCGAGGAAATATTGGCAATGACGCAAAAGAAATCAGACAACGCTTTATGGACTACTTCATGAATGATGGCGAAGTCCCATGGCAGAAGAATCACATTTTAAAAAACAAATAAAGACATTATTTGATGTTTACAAAAATAAATAGAAAATTTGTTTTTCCATGTATTCATAATATCGTGTTTTTCTTACCTCGCCACTTTCACCATCCAAATTTGAAATTGAGGTCCTTGAAATCTCTTGATCTTGCAAAAAATCAAACATGTCATAATACCAAAGTACCGGCTTGTAAATGCTATCCGTTGATGTTCCAGACTTGTATGATGCATCAACTTTCTTTTTCTCCTTCCGAAAAGCAGTTCTCAAACTGTTAATTTTATTGATCACAGACTTCTTGTCAGCACCAGGTTCAACTTCCACCAACTTTTGTGCCAATTTGGCATATGCAGCATCCTTCTTCGTACGATTATGATATTCCGGGCTCTTTACTTGCCAAAGACAAGGTTCCGATCTGTATATCGCAATAAAATCTACGATCACTGGGTTTGGCTTATTCCGCGACATCTTCAAAAAACCACCCGCACGGTGCTGAGACACAACTTGAACTGAGAACTGTGCAGTCGAACCCCCACACACGCAACGATCAGTTGAACCATTCAGTTAAAACAATTGACAATTTATTTGTCTCAGTTTAACTGTCCAGTTGAGTTAAACTGCGACTGACACACCCACACACGTTGAGGTTTAACTGCACAGTTTTCACTGAACAGTTCAAACTGTCAGTTGAAACTGTACATGAGTGGCCGACTTTAAAATGTGTAAAAATCATTTATAAGGTCTATAAGAAAAAATAAGGTAGATGCTAAAGGACAACAGATGAAATGTCATATTGAAGGTCTGATTATGCCTTCTTGTAAAGGATAAATAGTGGCAATGTTAATAAGCAATTCATTCTGAAATCACATTACAAATAACATCAGGAAAAAATTAAAACAATTTTGGGAAAATTCGTTTTTTTCCAGCTTTGTCCAGGAGTAGTTTGAACTGAATTTCTAAACTTGTTGATCACCCAAATATGTAACTTTGCTCCCCATTTAAGCAACTTCATATCTCTTACAGTTTTTGCGATCCCAATGGTGAGGGTCTAATTTGAAACATTCTGAATATCAGCAATCTTGACCAAAACTTATCTCTTGGATAAGGAGGGTGCATAGATCAAAACTTACTTCTCTAATCTGATCTGGTATCCAACACTATGCCCTAATTTCTCAGCACGCTCGTCTGCAACTCGCTCAGCTACTGCAATAGCACTTATCCTTCTTGGTTGAGTACATATTATTTTACACATCGAGCCTTTTTTCTTCTCAATATAATCATCTAGAATAAACTGAGCTACTTGTGTAGTTTTGCCACAACCTGTTTCACCACTTATAAGTATCACCTAAAAATTTATTCAGGTTTCTTAAACATGAAAGCATGCTCTAAACAAGAATAGAGTCTCAAAATAAGGAAATAATTGATCTAAACAAAATCTGCACTTGGAAGAAAAAGCATATCTAAAAAGTTAAGCAAAAGGTAATAAAATATTAATTATTGGTTTTAAATGCTAGTTAAGTACTATACTACTGATACCTGGTGTTCCTCGATCAATTTCAATATCTCCCTTCTCTTTTTGTAAGATGGTAACCCTTCTCGATTATCCATCATTTTTTTATACTTGCTATTTTCTTTTTTAGCACTAAATTCATTATAAAAGTAATTATCTCTACTCTCATCACTAATAGTTGTCATAACTGTTGAAGATTTCTCAATTTTATCTAAAATATTTCCTCTAATTGTAGAAAGAAAAGTTCTTTTGAAAGTAGAGTCCTCCACATGAGCATATGTGCTGTCATCTGTAGAAAAATAACCAAAACAAGTGTCCTCTCTCCTCAAGAGCTCTTTGAGTTGATATTTCTTTGAGTCACTCAAAGTTACTGTGCCAAGCTAGAAGAAGTAAACATAATATCTTCAAGCAATAATAAGTATATAATGTCTGCTTTAAATTAGAGAAAATGGAGCATGTATAATCAAATTATTCATAAGTCTCTCAGTAGCTTTATAAAACCATGAATTAGCTGCTGAAACTGCAATTTTTACAATTCTTCTGAACATGGGGAAAATAACATTAGTGTTGCTTTTAAATGTACATATTATACAAAAACTAAAAATCTTTCATTCATTTTTTGCATATCTTATCAACATTTTTCAAAACATAAATAGAATGCAAATTCATAAAGCACAGAAGAACAACTTACAGGTGGTTCTTTCTCTTTCTTGAGCCCTTTGTTTTTTAGGGACAAGTTTCTATAATACAATCCGATTTCTTTACCTCTAAGGCCTGGTGGTCTAGAGGGTCTTTCACCAGATTTTTGACGTGATTTGCTACGTTGCCGTCCCTGACCAGAGCCTCCTCCCCTATCACTGTATCTTCCACCTTTACCCCTACCAGAAGGAGCAGAGCCCCTTCTTCGTCTACCAGACATCCTGATAAAATCTACAACTCAGCAAAAGAAAGTATGTAATTTTTTAGAAGCGGATTGTGCAATTTATGGATACATTTGGGTTTATTTCAAAAGTCACACCCGAGGGTGCGCTTTTGAGTCTGGGCACTACAAAGCATGATTATAGTGACGGATGCCAGAAAATTTTAAAAGCAATTTTTACCTGGCGTTTATTCAACTGAAATTCTTATATTAAATACAACTTGGACCTAAAATAAACCTAGAGCAATCAACAAGCCCAAACATCGAACATGCACAATGCACATACATAACCAAAAATTTTGACATTTTCAAATGTTTTGTCACTTTTGGGTTGGGGAGATATCAAATTCCAAGGCTGCCAACTGCTGCCAGCGTTATCAAGAGTCGCTTTCCAGTGCTTTTGAATTGAGTTGTATACACCTGGAGTGTGACGCTCCCGAACTGCTCTAGCAAATGTGCACAGGAACGCTACGATAAAAAAATAACCTGTTTGTTGATGTTTTGCCTTGACGTTGAGAATTTGTA